CAGTTCAGAATAATAAGCAAAAGAGCAAATTTTAAAGTTGCATGCAATCTCAAATCATCACTGTTTTTAAAAATCATATGCATGAGAAGAAAGAATGGAGGGGCTACACCAAAATGCTAATAGTGTTGAGATTATAGGTAATTTTTTTCTCCTGACTATTTCTCAAATTTTCATAATGGTAAAAAAAAAATTATACTAAAAAAAGTTCCTCCAAAAGAATCTTTAAAAGTGTAATTCTTTTGTTTTCAAATTGCTTTCATATCTGCTATCTCATAGATTGTTACAACAAGCTTTTGGACAGAGTTGATATTAAATAATTCTATTTTATAGACTGGAACACAGATGAAGTGTTGATGATTTACATAAACCACTCAGTTGGCTAGAGGGAAACCTCCTAGTGAGTCTCAGGTCTCCTGAGTTCTACTAATATTCTGGCTGTTAGGACTTTATCTTGGGTGCTCAGGGCTCCAGGATCCCCACTCTTAAATGGGAGTAGCTGCTACCTGGGCTTTAGTCCTCTGGTCCAAAGTGGATGTCTATGGATGTTGAAGATGGATTACACACAAAAAAGTTCCCAAAGATGCAATCCCTGCCTGGGGTGTTCTTATACTGTCCATGGGTAAAATTTTTTAAAAATGTTGATGGAGAAAGAGAGAAGAAGTTGTCAGAACCATAGTCTGTGTTTGAGAGTCAAGTTAAGACAACATTTATCCACTGTAGTTTTTGGAGGGGAAGAGAGATTATGGGAACGAGTCTGTCCTTGTGCAATTCAATGCCCCCGCGCCTTCTCTCCCTCCAACTCTCTTAGGGTAGGTTGTTGGGGTTTTACAGGATGGCTCTAGCAGAAAGTCCTCATTTAAGACCCTCAGAGCTCAGCCCAGGCTCCTCACTTCAGAGGGGGGAATGCCATTGGCTCTCCATGCACTGAGGAAAGCCCAGGTGTGTACTGGAGTTGCTGAGTGGAGAACAGGGATCACTCTCATTGTTTTCTGTGTGGGGTCTTATCCTGGCGCCCCAGAAAACAGTCATTCCTGGATATAGTTCAACTTCACCCACAATTGTCACAAACTAGGGGATGGAATGAGCTCTGGGAGAGATTCAGGGGTATCCCCAGAAAGCTCCCCTCGACTTCTAGTTAATGACCCCGCTGCTGAGGACCAGCTGTGTGCCCATCCTCAGTGAATCCTTCCAACAAACTTATGTGTTAGGTACTATTATCAGTGGTATATTTCATCTAAGGAAACTTAAACCCAGAATGTGAAATGACTTACCCAAGGTGACACAGCCACTTCACACACTTCAGAGCCCACTCTGCAATGCTTCCTTATGTTTCCCAAGGAGGCCTGTTTCGTAGACTCTGAAATTAGAATCTCCACTATTCAAACCGAGTTTAAGTAAGGGCTTTGGAAAGCAGAATAGAAAAGAAAATCTACTCCACACTCTTTCTGAGGTGAAGCAGGCTGAGCCATGAGGACAGGGCTGCTAGTAGTGGACTGAGTTTAACTTGTGTTTAATTTCCCTCTCTAGAGCTCTGTAAGCAAATACAACCTTGGGGGAAGGAGTGGGAAGAAACTGTTCCCTGGACTAAGAAACTGCTAAAATCTTTAAATATCTGTCGGCTTTTTTTTTTTTTTTTTTTGGCTCCCTGCAATGTTTTGGTGTTTAGATTTGGTTGCCACGAGTGGGCTGTTTTTAGCTGCCTAGTTCCATCCCCTCCCCTTTTAACTTTTTTCCCCTTCCTTTTGCACATGCCCCAGCATGAAGTTTCCAGTTCTTATCTCACTCGGCAAAACATACCAAGGCTGGTCTGAATGTGGATTCCCCAGGCGGTTCTCCAGCATGAAACCTCAACAGTATTCAAGTCTCTACTTAACCCTCTTTCATTGAGAATTAACCCCTGAAATAACCCAAGCCAGGGCTTCCTTCTCAGGAGGCTGAGACAGCCTTTGCCTTTGTGTAGAGAAGCATTTTGGTCTGGGGAGCTGTTCTTGCCCCTCCTCTAGATGGGGTGGCATGTGCACAGAGGACGTTGGGTGCCGTTAACTAAAGCAGGGTAAACTGAGGACGCACAGGACTCAGATACTGATCACCTCTCCGGTAGCACAAACCTTGGGGCTCTTCCTTTGCACTTTCCCAGTCTGCCATTCCACAGGCATTTCACAGCTCTCGTGAGGGCTGGGGGCAGGGAGGCAGGCAGAAGTCCTTTCTGTGTACTTTAGATAAGAGTTTCATTCACAAGAGGCTGGACTGCCTTCTGTGTCAAGATTCTTATCCCTTTTAGACTTTCAGTGGGAACGCAGGCAGAGAATATTAGCCTAAGACTTCCGTGAACTGCTGACAGCATTTCTATCCAGGTGTGACCTGAAGATTCAAAACCCAGAATTACTAGAATGAAACAAGACTGCAAAGAGGAACGGTTAACAAAGAGGAATGGTCACAAAAATAAACCGACGGGCTGTGGACTTCTCCGTCTTAATTACCCTTCTCTTCATTGGTCTGTGCAGGCTGGTCTGGCTGTTGTTTACCCTACGCCTGAAGTTGAATTTCCCCTTCAGGACAGGACTCAACCTCCATAAATCTGGCTCGGCTGTAGGAGTGGCTCAGAGTTTAAAATGTAAACTGGTTAAAGATTTCCCTAGGCCTTTCGCAGGGGAAAAGAAAGGAAAAACTTTCACGTGCCCTCCCTCATCTCCTTGTTTCACTTTATAATGGTGTAATTTATCCCAGGCAGTAGATAAATAGACACAATAAACAGAGAATCCCAAATAACTTTAAATTGACACACGCCCTTTTCCATCTGGTCTAGGGGTTGTGTCGACACTCCCGGGTTGTACCTGCCCGCCTACGCGGTGGCAGGAGGGCGGGTATGGGGGTGTGGAGCGCGGAGCGCGGGGGTGTGGACCTGGGGGTGGGGTGTGGAGGGTGTGGCCGGGAGAGCCGTTACCATGGCGAAAAGTAAAGCAAAACAATCGCCTAACGCTTCCCGCGCGACACAGCTGTGAACCCGATCAGGTCCCGAACAACTTCAACGCGGATCCCGTGTGGAACCCCGGGGTTGCAGGACCGGCCCCGGAAGGCCGCTCTCGGCGTCGTCCTGAGCCTGAAGCTCGGGGCGGGGGGCGGGGGGCGGGGTGGGGGAGAGGAACTCGGATGGGGGAGACTCAGTTTTACCTGCAGATCTGAGGTGCTCTGCCCCAGGCTGTTGGGCAATTGGAGGGACCGGAGGGAGTGATACAGATACCTTGGGTGCGGGACTGTGTGTGTCCGTGTGTGTACGGGGGAGAGAGACAGGCTGATTGGACCCTCCATCACCACCATAACAGCCGAGGGCTGCAGGTGCGGTGGGGTGGGGCTGCGAGCGAGTGAGACCGGGTCTCAGAGATCCTTCTAGTTCTTACCCCAAATCACCAAACTTGAACCTTCAATCGCCTCTCTCCTAAGAAGCAGGTGTTTCTGCCCCCGGCCATGCCTGCACACCCCAGGGGCTCGCATAGATCTCTCTCGCAGGCAGGTTCAAAACCATCGAGGGGCCACACTCGCTCCCACATATATGCGACCATGGGCCGTCGAGAAGGTCCTGAGTTAGCTAAGGTCGGGGAATCCGAACCAAGAAGTCATTTTTAAGGTTCAAACCCAGTTCTGCTGAAACCTCAGCTCGAATCTGGGGTCACGGGACACCGCCTTTCCTGCCACTCTGGCTTGGGGGCAGAAGGGATTTCTGCTACAGGGCCTCATTTCCTCAGCTGTCAGTGTGTCCCAGTGTGCGGTCCGGTCGCAGTTCAATCCGCTCTGGGCTCAGGAAAATACGTGAAAGCCGAAGTCGGCTTTCCTCTAAATACCTAAATAAGGAGACCAAAGCACCGTGTCTTTCCTCCTCTCCCTGGCCTCTAGGCTTCAACCCCACTCTTAGTCCCACTCCGATTTCTCCAGCTCTCTCGTCTTTCCAGGGTCTTGTTCGTTTCACTGTCAATTTCAAATGCTCCAGGACGTGATATATATATAATCTCCTAACCCTTAAGGTTCTACTTGCCCTCGCCTAGGGGTCGGATTCCCAGCCCGCCTCGGGGCTGTTCCACTTGTGCCCTCGGGTGGGGTGCGCCGAGGCTGAGAGCCCACCGTGCCCGCCGAGCGCTGCCCTCCGCTCTGAGGTTAACCAGCAAACTTCTCACGGTCCTTGCCGCGGAGGTCACCCACGGCGGGTAACAGTGTGGGTTCACTGTAGGGTGCCTTTGGGCACCTCTCCCTCACAGGAGGCTAAGGCTACAGCTCTTACCCCGCCTCCTACACGAGAAGGAGGCGTTCGTCGGGGGAGGGGATATTTTCCCGAAGCTTCAGAATATAACGCATTTTAGAGAAAGGACGTGCCCGCTTCCCAGCCTCACCTAGTGTGGCCTGCGGCCAAGATCCACCCGACGCCCTCCCCCACCCCCCCCCACCTCCCACCTCCCACCTAACGGAGGGAGAGATGCCAACACAGTGGAGTCATACAGCTGGCCTGGGCACCATTGGCTCATGCCTGGAACACGCAGCAGCGAGTACGCACATCTGGCGGCCCGCCCAGGCGACTCCAGTCCAGATATGGAGAGAGAGGGCGGGCAGGTTTGTGTCCTAGCGCGCGAGGCCGGGAGGACCCGCCCAGGCCGGCTCCTCCCAGAGCTTGCATCACCAGTCCCCACCTCTCTCCACCTCTCCTTTGGCCCCTCCTCCACCCCTTCTCCCTAGCCCAGCTCAGTTCGGCTGGTTCTCTGGGAAAGCTATTAATAGCATTACATCAGCCTGGGACTGGAGTAATCGGGCGCGGCGCCAGCCAGAGGGTTATAAAAGGGGTGATGCAACGCACTCCCAGCCACAGTAGCACGCAGAGAGGCGGGCACTGCACAGCACTCTCCCGGCGTCGCTGCCCCAGCGGACCCGCCAGCCCGCGCGCCGGCCGAGCGTCCCCGGTGCTCGCCCGCCGGCCCCGCCGACCCGCAGCTCGACCCCGCCCCGACCCCGCCCGCCCTCCGGACCCTGGCCGCCCCGAGTGGAGACCAGAGGTGAGCGCTTAGAAGTCGAGTGAGTGAGCGCGGCGAGAGGGGCTCGCTTTCATTCCCTTTGCGCCCCTATAGTAATAGTCCCGCGACCCCTGGGCCCACTCCCGACCGCACCTCCAGCCTCCGGCTTCTAAAGAACTCTGGTTGAACTTTTCCCAGCCGCCGCTGCTCCTTGGCGCTTCAGAAAGTTTCTCGCCAAGAACTTTCTCTTTTGACTTGGAGCGCGAAAGATTCCTGGTGACTGTGAGGCGGGGCTCCTGCTTCTCAACCAGGCTGGGAACGCCGCTCCTCTCCGCCCTCGGCACTTTCTTACCGCGCTGGGAGCGGGCGTGGGGAGGTGGGTTGCGCAGGGGTGTCCGAGGCGCTCCAGCGCGCTGTCCGCTTCATCCCTCGCTCGGTGCCGGGGCACTGCCACCCCCGATCGCAGCCTTCCCGAAGTCTGCTGAAGGGTGCGGAGACCGGGGGCTCACAGCAGGGCTGCCCCAGGGGCCGAGCGGAATGAATGGAACCGGCCCGGCGAACCGGGGTCGCGGGCTAGGGCGCAGCCGCTGGGAGTCGCCCTGCGCACCCGGGAGCGCAGGGCAGCAGGACTGCGCCGGGAGCCGGGAGCGAAAGTTCGTTGGGATAAGTTTAGAGGAGCCGAGCGCTCGGGTCCTGTCCTGCCGCGGAAGACGGAGAGGGCTCCCGTCACAGGCTAGTGTTTCGGGCTCCTGGACCTGAGACTTCCTTTCCCAACTCTCTCACGCTTTTCTCTCTTACCTGTGGCTTTGGCTCTTCCTCTGGCGGTTCGCGGATTTCTCTGCTTTTCGTCGCTGGAAATCCGCCGTAGGGGAAGCGAAGGTGCGAAGCCGCATGTTCAAAAACCGAGAGAATGACTTTGTGGTCTAGTGGCCAGTACCCTGAGGAGGGCACTTGATGTCCTTGAGCCTCAGTATCCCCAGCTGGGAGATGTGGGCACATATGCAATGCTGGCCCCTCTGCCCGGTTGCCAGTGCAAGATGATGGTTGGACCAGATAACCTTAAGGTCCTTACTGCCTAGAAGATTTTCAGATTCTAGATGGTGTAATTTGAAAAAGTGGGAGCCAGCAGGGGTCTTGAGAGATTTGAATGAGGGGGTTCTCTGTCTCATGTCACTGACCAGCTTCTGAGGCAAAGGGGGGAATGGGGACTTCTCCATGGGACATCTCTTCCCTTTCCAACTTTCTTTCCGTTTGGATTGGTTCTCCTTCTCTGCTCCCCCACATCCCGTTTTCCTCTCATCTACTCACTTCCTAACCACTTTCTTTTCTCTGATTTCATTACCTAGATCACACATGCTTCCTCACAAATAAAGGAGTGGCTGAAGCCTTGGTGGATCAAAAACATAAATAAAAGTGTGTGCGTGGCGGGGCGGGGGGGGGGGGGGGGGGGGGGGGAGGGCTAAGAGCCAGGGAGAAGGGTGGGGTTAGGACAGGGAGGTTCCAAAGGCTCCAGTAGCAGCCACAGGTGCTGTATCTTATCCACGCTGCCCGCCTGAAGTGCTGCCTGCCAGATTGTCTCCCAGTGCACCTATTTCAGTGTGGGTGACAGTCACCTCTGTTTAGGGCTTCTGTCTTCCCAACTTTAAATGAAGGAGACATTGATATTACTGTCCCCTTGCTTTGCATTTAGCATTTGTTGTAGAATGATGCTACAACATATAGGCTCTTGCTTTAAGGATATTCCAGACCAAGACAGGGTAGGTATAGGTTTTGCAGTTGTTATTGTCTGACTGGTTCCAGAGATAACTGTGGGCCTGGCAGGGGGCTTCCCAGACCCACAGTGTGGATAAGACACAGTACTCAGCACTGGTGGCAGCTATCCGAGCTTTTGGGGTCCTTCCTATTTTAACCCCACCCTTCTCTCTCTCCCTTGTTCTCTTTCTTCTATATTCCCTCCCTGTCTCGTCCTGTCAGCCTCCTCTGGTGGGTACCAGGTTACTTAACTATTGATCCCTCATCTACCTGGCCAGTGGCTCTGTTTTCCATTTGCCTTGTTGGTTGGATCTCTGTTGGTGAAGGAACAAAATGAGCAGTGGGTGGGTGGTCAGCAGCTTGGCCCAAGCTGGACTACTCACCAGCTTTGTGGCCTTGGACAAGTCACTTTACCTTCCTTGACTTCATTTTACTCAATTACAAATGAAGACCTGACCTAGATGACTCTAATATTGGGTGTTCTCTTTCATTAGATAGAGTGCATGATTTCTTCCCTTTTCAAATTGGCTGGCCATGGGGCAGGGTCACTGGCTCCAAATGTTACCTGTCCTGGAGAGGAAGAAGTACAAGCCAGGACACCACAGAAGCCAGAAATGGTTTCATGAGGGAGAACTAGTTATTTTTTAAGTACTAAGACCAGTGGAGACAAATGAAAGTGCCAGCAGCTGGAGGGGTGAAATTCACCTACTGTGGCAGGAGCCTAGGGGTCAATCAAAGTGCAAAAGAATCTGTGACTGACCTGGATGTCTTGAGGGCCCCAGGTAATTCCTGATGAATGGGGCTAAGCTACAGTGACAACAGCATTGAGTTCCTTGGAAATGGGGAAGGTGGAATCACAGTAGTGTTGGGTACTCAGGATGTGTAAACTCACCTTCATGAATCTCATTTGATCTCCCTGACAGCCTTGTGAGGGAACTGGGGCAGGTGGTATTGGCCCCATTTCACAGATGAGGAGACTGAGGCTTCTCGGTGGGTGCTCAGCTTGTGAGTGGTAGCGATAGGCCTGGAAACATCTGGTCCCTGAAACTCAGCCTTACACCTTCAACCTTCAAGTGGGCTGGGAGAAAGACCAAGCAAGATATGAAGTTACTAAAAGACCAATGTTGACTTCTGACTTTAAGATGTTTTATGAGCAGCGGTTAGTGGAAAGAGATAAAAATTAAAAGTGCAAACTCAACACAGTTGTTTGTAGCTACTAGGAAATAAAATCTAGGAGCTGAATTTACAGTTAAAGGAATACATGAGTAAAGTTTCACTTTCTTGAAAATGATGAAACTACCACTGATACAACATGATTTCTGATCAGAGATAATGAAGCAGAAGTAAAATGCAGGTGCTTTGTAGCAAGTGCGGACAATTTTAAGATTAGTGTAGAAAGTCAACTCAGAAAATCCCCAAACAGATTTTTTTCTTCAATGACGGGGATGTTAGAAGGTCTCAACTTTTGGGGCTAACTTTTGTCTGAAGATTTAACTTCATTTTCCTTGTACGGACACAGCCTGAGTCTGGGCTGAATCATACCTTAAGAGAACTGAATAAAGAAGTAACTAGAAAATATCTCAAGAAACTAAAAAACAAAGCTTTTGCTGAGTGCAGAGAAAGCCCAGATCTCCACAGATACAACTACTTTACTTTCTGAAAAGCTTTTTAACATTTTTACAACCAATTTCTGTCCCCAAGTAAGCCCACCCCATGCTTTTCACAAAGACATTCCATACCACTGACATTCTTCATTTTCTTTCATCAGGACTGCTGACTTTACACTAAAGAAGGAAAAAAAAAATCCCAAACAGCAGACCTCAAGCCTTGAGAGCTCATTAATAAACTTAGTTGGGTGCTGAAATGGAACTACACTCAACTGTGTGGAATTCAGACTACCCATGTAGCAGGGAGCCATCTAGTCTTCCAAACAAAGGCAGGCCCAGTGGTAACTTTGAATTCCATCCCTGAACTACTGGATTTTTAATAAAGTTGGAAGGGGAGGGAAAACAACGAATGTATGGGAGAATCTTAAGCCTCTGGCTTTAGAAGGCTGGTTTCTTAGGTTATCTCCTGCCAGAGACAAGTACCCTCCCAGCATCCTAAGATTATAGGATTAAACTGGTAGAACATCAGTTCTGACTCATGACACAGGGCTTTAGGAAGAGAGTTACATACATTTTCTGGGTTTCTTTAAATAGTCAACAGGGGCATTTGTGGCTCTGGAATTCTTGCCTCCAACAGTATATCTCAGACCTTAAGGGGGCGTTAGGGTTCAGGGTGTTCTATTCAGAAATGTTTGAAATCAAGGACAGTGACCAGCCACCCTCCCACCTGGACCTCACAGAGTGTCTGTCAGAGAGCCAGCCCTGTGCTGGAGAGGTCTCTGGGGGGCCCAGCTGCATTATATTTCCCAGGTATATTCATGTATTATTATTTCCTCAACTCCTTGGACAACTCTAGGAGAAAATAGGACGATTGTTATTAGCTTTCTTTTACAGAGGAGAGGGAAGGCACTGGGAGGTATAATGATGACATATGAGTAAGTGAGCCTTAAATATTGATCTTCTGACCCCAGTCTGGGAATTCTGTGGATAAAAGACCCACTTATACATATTCTAACAGCCAGTGCTGGAGGACGTATATGGCAGGAAGAGATTTATGGGGACCATGAAACTGTTACTGTTTCTACCCTTTATTTTCCTATTGTCGCTTTGGATTCCCTGGGCTGTAGAATGATAGAGGTAGACAGGACCTCAGAAGGCACTTGATGGGACCACCCATTCCCGATTGCAGGTGCTTGGTCAGGCAATCTCCAGTAGGCACTGGGAGCAGCCGGTGCCAGGCACTGTGCCAGGCTCTGGGGCAGAGCGACAGCAGAGGCCAGTCCCCGTGCTGCGAGAGCTCTCAGCCATGCGCTGGATGAAGACTGAGACTCAGAGCTCAGGGCACGCTGTTCCTTAGTGCCAGAGCCAGGCCCAGGTCCCCTTGGGCCCCCAGACCAAGCCTCTCCAGACACCACAGGGCTGAACAAGACCTCCAGACGAGGTCCAAATTCTTAGCTCCTCGCTTTTCTTTCCTCTGAGGTCTTTGCTTCATCAAGCTTAACTTTACAAAGGGGCTACTGGTCCCTTGTGATGGAATCTCTAGCCCCTAGCCCCTGCCAAGGACTGGCTCAAAGAAACACACCTGCCACAGTCACCATCCTCAAGCTCATTTATTTGGATCCAACTTCCTGAGGGAGAATTGTTAGAGAGATATTTACTATTTTCAAGGGTCCTCCATGGCTTGCTTTATTTCCACTCATTGACAACTTCAGCTTGATTTCAGATGCCAAGTTTCTTTTTACAAAAATAGACTGGAAATGAGGTTATATAACAGTTTCACTTTTTTTTTTTCATGCTCTTCCTCTTTCAGTGTTGTTTGAGGTTACATGTGCACCTATACACACCAGCCAAAACTAATGCTTCTGAGAACTCAGAATAGCTTGAAACGCCAACCCTGATAAACTTTAGTTCGGCCTTTTATCCACACCACTGAGCTGTGTATTTTAAGAACCTGTTTTACTCAAGGCGAGGATGGCATGAAATGAAAACAAAACAGAACCGGAGGGCTTATGGGACTTTCCCTGGGGGTGGGACTCGGGTTGGAGGTAGCAGGTGTGGTGGGACTTGGTCCCATGCCCCCAGTCCCTGAAGTAGTTTGGGTTTCGATGTGTCTTGCAGCAAAATGATGCTTCAACACCCAGGCCAGGTCTCTGCCTCAGAAGTCAGCGCCTCGGCCATTGTTCCCTGCCTGTCCCCTCCTGGATCACTGGTGTTCGAGGATTTTGCTAACCTGACCCCCTTTGTCAAGGAAGAACTGAGGTTTGCCATCCAGAACAAGCACCTCTGCCATCGGATGTCCTCTGCGCTGGAGTCGGTCACTGTCAACAGCAGACCCCTCGAGATGTCAGTCATGAAAGCCCAGGTAGGTTCTACCACGGGTGCTCATTCTTTCGGCATGTATGTGTCATCCAGCTGCATGCCTGCCACAGGCCAGACATGCTCTAGGCAGGGGCCCGCAGCGGGAATACCACACACCACTGCCCTCAGGGAGCTTACCTTCTGCTGGGAGGAGACAGATAGTACATGAAAAGAAGTAAATACACGCCATGAGAGATGGCAGAGGAGAACAATAAAGCAGCAAAGGGGGCCTGAGAGTGGGGTAGGGTGTTGCTGTTTTAAGTCAGGTCACGGAAGGCTTCGCTGATTGAGTGGCCTCTGAGCAGAGGTGAAGGTGGAGAGGGAGGGGCCGTCTGGGTATCTGGCCAAAGAACAAGGGTAAGGACACTGGGAGGAGTGTGCTCGGTGGGTAAGAGCAGTAGCAAGGTGGACTTATGGGGCGGGAGCAAGATAGGAGCTGGGGCGATGGGCTGGGGAGCAGAAAATGCTGGCTGTTGTAGACTAGTATAAAGATAGTCATTTTCTGAGAGCGAGGTGGGAAGCCACTGGAGAGTTTCTGAGCAGGGGAGCCACAGGGCCTACTTGCCGTTTTTAAATGCTCACCCTGGCTGTCATGTTGAGAATGGGCAGTAGGGACAAGAGCAGAAGCAGAATACAGAAATGAGACTGCGCCCTAATCCGCAAAGGAGGGTCTGCGTCAGGACGGAAGCAGCGAGGTGTGGAGAAGTGGTCTGCCTCTGGGTCTGATCGGAAGGGAAAGCTGATTCACGGCAGAGTGGACGTGGAGCGTGGCTCCCGGGGAGGACTCGGGTGGCTCCCAAACTCCTGGCCTGACCAGCTGTGAGGACAGCGCGCCCTTTTGCTGCTGAGGTTGGGACTGTAGGCGGTTGGGTGGGGCAAGAACAGGAGTCCAGCCTATCGGATGCCCCAGGGGAGGAGGTAGTTGGATATGTGGGTTGGGAGTTAGAGGAGAATCGGGGCAGAGTTGGAAACCATCAGCATGTGGATGTTATTCGAAGCCATGAGCTGGTTTGAGATCACCTTCGGTGTCCAGTCATTCTGAAGAAGGAGCAAGTGTGTTTATTTTCATCACTCCAAGGACCCAGGGGGCCAGACTGTGGAGCAAGGGCCCACCAGCCATGCTCACAGCTGTGTGATGCCCACAGCCTTGGTACCAGGTTCTGCTCCAAGTTCACTTCTGTCTCTGACACTTGCACTGCTCCCCACTCGGCGACCTTTTGTGAGACACCTGGGATGACAGCCACGGCGAGACGTCTGCGAGGACGCAGAGCTGAGGTCTTAGATGTTTTGTCGGCTTTCCTTCATGGGCACAACATGGGGAGTGTTTCAGGCTTAATTGGCATGAACACTGCCTGAGGGCAAGGAGTAGCGGAACTGGCTGAAAAGGAACTGAGTTTTAAAGGAAGTTGGTTAAGAATCTTTATGATTCTATAAACGGGGCAATAATTTTATATAACGGCTTTATGAATCTATGTAAGGGTGAATGAAGTGACGTTTTTTAAGGGTCTAGCAGAGGACCAGGCTGATAGTTCAGTGACTGGTAGAGGGGACTTCTATGATGCTGTCATTAGGGGCATTGGCTGGGCCCTAATTAACCTGAATGAGAGGGTGTCATTAGTACCCAGCCCAATAGTGGACGGTGCGGCTTGGATAATAGGACACTCAAGGGAATATTTATTTTAATTTTATAATTCAGTACCTTAAGATAACAGGATGCAATGGAAGTAGTAAGACTGCCATAGAAGGAAGGTGAGCTTTTTAGAAGGATATTTTGAGGGTTCTCCAGAGGAAGAGTTGGCAGCCTGCTTTGTAAAAAACTCGTTAAAACCACCCAACCTATACGTGACTCTGTGTTCATCAAGTGATCTTCTGATCTTAGATTAGTTTAACAAGTAGATTTTTCTACTGGGAAGAGAATGCACCAAGTGACCTATTGAATATTCTGGCCCCCTTGGTTGCTGTAATTCTCAACTTAAAAGATGACACCGAGCCTGTGAGATTCATAGGCACCCTGTGCGTTTGTGCAGCATGAGCCTGTTCCCAGATCCAAGTCACCTCTGTGAAGGCGACATGGTGGGACGAGGCAGCTGTGACCCAGAGAGGACGCAGATGGGGAACATCAGGGTTTGTAGCCTCTGCTGACCATGAGCTGGTGATTCCTGCACCTCCCTGGGCATGTTACTACACCGACAGATCCATATTTATTTGTTGGTTGAATTCCTCCTTTCAAAGTGGCCTCCAGAAAGGCTTTTCCATCTCTGACAGTGTGCGACTCCGAGATTTACTCTACTTTCAAGTACTTCCTCACACGAGAAAACCCCGAATCCTCTCCCACCTATCCGCAAATGTCTGTAGGAAAAGTCAGAATGGCAGAGGAAACACCAGAATTGCTGAGTTGTCGACGTAGACCCAGATGGTGAGGTTAATGATAATAGCTGAAGCTTACACAGCACTGACTGGGAAGCTAAACACTGTGCAAAGCATTTACACCTATTAACTAATTTGACCGTCATCATAACCCTATTAGGTAGGTAAGATTATTGATCCCATTTGACAAATGAGGAAACTGAGGTTCAGAAGAACATGGTAACTTCCTCAAGGCCTCACAGCTCAAAGGTAGTAAAGCTGGGATTCAAAAGCAATGTAGTCGAAACCTACACGTCTGCCTGTGTGGTTCTGGGATCCAGGATATAAAAGGTAGAGTTTCTCTCACCATATTTCCCTGTTGGGCTTTGTTTCTCTTAAGTTGCAAGACCTTCCATCTCAGTCCAAACAAAGTCAGTGTCATCTAATCCAGGCGACTCATAGTAAGTCAGATGTGAGGCGAGTATGGCACGCCAGGATCTCTTTGGTGTGGGGTGTAGCTCCCAAAACCTTTTCCACTGTCCAGTGACAAGTAACATGACAAGATCTGCCTCTGGCAGCCTAACCCGCTGCCCACTCAGCCCACCGTGAGTGCTTCCCCCCAGCTGGACTCTGGTCTCAGCCAGGTCACTCATCAGTCCTCAGACAAAGTCAGGCCCAGATCCTAAAACAGGATAGGGTTTTGTTTTCTGAGGAGTCCCGGGGCTGGCTCAGGGTGAAGCACCGAAGCAGCAATCAGTTTTTAACAGAAGGGTACATCAATGGATGGTGCTAGTTTGCCACCCATCGGTGGCACCAAGCCATGGGCTGATAATGCCACTCTGGTTGGGAATGAGCGTGGGCTCCTCTTCTCTGGGAGCTCCATGGGCTTCTCCTGCATTCAGGAAGGAGGTGCTTTGATGCTCCAGGTGGAGATAGAGATGAATAGGCTGCCCTTGGGTCTTGAATCAAAGAAACAGGGGGACAGGGGGAGTAGGCTGCTGAGGTTATTTCTGGTTCTAGGGGAGAGGTCATAGTTACCAAACAGAATCTGTTTCCTGTTCTAAACAATTACTGTTATTACCAGTAGTTATCAATATGAATATCAAACTCTTATTCCAAAATCCAAATGCATTTTTAAAATAAGCTAAATTTTTATTTACCGATATTGCCAATATAAGTTTAACAAACAGTTCTTTGACTTTTATTATTCATTCTTTAAAGGTGTGTGCGTGTGTGTGTGGTGAGGTTTCGTATAAGTCTGGGGCTGAACTCTTTCCGGGACCTTTAGCATCACAGCCGCTCTGATTTGCCGGTGTTTTGCTGGCAGCAAAAGGCCGTGCATTTGAGGTGGGTCTCATTTCTTGCCTCCCCTCAAGCAGGTGCCTCTTGGATTTTACAGGTAGCCCCTGAAGAAGATGAAAGGAAAAAGAGGCGACGGGAAAGAAATAAGATCGCAGCTGCCAAGTGCCGGAACAAGAAGAAGGAGAAGACGGAGTGTCTGCAGAAAGTGAGTGTCCTCGTCTTGCCCTGTTCTCTTGCTCGTGCCTGCCCACCCCCTGCCTTGATCTCGTCACTGTCAGGAGGGGAGTTAAAAAGCCTCCTACCCAGAAGTGTTTTCCTAAGAAGGGCGACGTAGCTGGTAGCAGAAATGCCAGTGGCTAAACAAGGAGCTGGCAAAGCTGTTGTGAGCACAATGACTGTGACGCTGGATGTATAAAAGCAGGTGTGTGAATTAGGAACGGCAGCAGCCTCAGCCAGTCCCTACATGTCCAACAGCTTCCAGGCTGAAGGAGATGTCAGCCCAGCTAAGAGGCTTCACTCACCCCTTTCCCTGAGAACAGGAAGCTGCCAGCTCTTATTTGGCTCACTATGAAACACCTTTAATTAATCTCTTCAAACAAGTTATTTCCTTGATCCACAAGCAGTGGTTACACTTTCTCAGTGTTCCAGTGTAGTTCTTACCTCTGCAGCCCTTCTCCCTGGCTTCCCCAACGGGCTTAGCTCCGGGCTGCATTCAGCCAGCTCCCCTTCCTAAGTGGAGTGACATCTGGCAGGCGGGGTGGCTTGTGGTGCGGTCTTTCCAGTGGTTATGTCTCTTCCCCCAAGTGTGGACAGGCCAGGGCAGAGCCATCACCCAGATTCCACGGGTCCCCAAGGGTTCTGTTGATTGCTTTAGGGAGCCAGTGAAAGTTAAGACATTTTGTGTGTTGCTGTATATCTTTCTGGGGAGATGAACTTCTCAGTGAAATGAGTGACTCACAAAAGACTAAGCACCATGAGTCTGGGTTTCGCCCCAGCCCCCAAGGCCCTTGTGGGTCCAGAAGACCTGCACAGGGGCTGGTAGACTCATGCAAAGGAGATCTCTGAGCCATTGGTTCTACTGCAGCTTCATTACTAGAGTCACAACCTGCCTCAACCTTGGGTGGAAACTCACGGGCATCTCTGAAGAAGCCTTTAAGTTCAAAGGCTTCTCCAGGGTCTGGATTCTCCCAAACAGAAGACGGCTGCCCTGGCAGGGACCCAGTGGCATTGCCTCTGCAGGCCAGTTCCAGCTTGACGAGCCCCAACATGTCCCAGGGACCCGACCACCCAGGGACCCGACCACCCAGGCACCACTCCCTGGCCACCCCCTCCCTCCTTGTTGGGCCTTGGCTCCATTCCTAATAACTCTGTTGCTTGTACCCCAGGAGTCAGAGAAACTGGAAAGTGTAAATGCTGAACTGAAGGCCCAAATCGAGGAGCTCAAGAATGAGAAGCAGCATTTGATATACATGCTCAACCTTCATCGGCCCACGTGTATTGTCCGGGCTCAGAATGGACGGACTCCGGAAGATGAGAGAAACCTTTTTATCCAACAGATAAAAGAAGGAACATTGCAGAGCTAAGCAGCTGTGGTTATGGGGGCAACTGGGGACTCCTCGTTGAATCCTCCTTCTACATCTAAACCCCTGCAGCAATTGAGATCTGACTTCCTGTGCACTTCTCGAATCCCAGCAGCAAAGAACCATGGAGGCGGGATGGCTCGGTGACTCAGCTGGGCCTTTCCACTCTGCCCCAGAGCGGACTTCGGACCAGAGCAGGGGCATTTTTTGCCTCAACTCCAGGATTTAGGCCTTAACATACCAGCCACTCTTGGATACTCCAGATGGCCCCTGGTTAGCATCCTGCCCACCCTTCACGTGGATTCTACAAAAACCAGAACTCCCACCATTAGGATTCATGCAGAAGAAATGTCTGTATCTTTGGGTGGGTGGGATGGGGCCACCTCTTTTGTTGCCACTGTCACGGTCACTAGTAGGGGACATGGAGTGAGAATGGCATTCAGCAAAGTTGTGCATTGGCCAGGGTTGTGCTTCTAGCAAATACGCTGTGATGGACAGGAATTGCTGTGTGCAAGGCGTTTGTGGCAGACCTAGCCATTGTGCTCTCCTGGTGTTTGTTCTGACAACACGGGTGTGACTTTTTCGAGATTTTCCTCGGATCTAGTTTCTGAGAGCTGGAGGGGCTATCACCACGTGTCGTGTCTTACAAGATGTTCCGGCGGCTGGAAGAGCTTGCCAGCCCAGGAGAACCGAATTTTGCCAGCCAGCAGTGTAGTTTTGTGCCTACAGAGAAGGCCTCCTTTTCCTTGGCACCCAGGCATTAACGCAGAATTCATGGGCATGACTGTAGGCCCTCTGTCACGGGAAGAAAGCAGAACGTCCACCTTCCGAAGGGTCAGGACTCCCTGCTCAGTGACTTAGGTCAGGAGCTGTTCCTGGGCCGGAAGAGCCAAAGAATATTCCGTTTGCCTTTTCTCGCAGTTGCAAACCACGTCCAGTGGAGGCACGTGTGAAGCTAGGTGATGCCTAGGCTTTAGCATTATTGATGCTGATGGCATTGTTTTTGTCATGCAGATGTTGATAGAACTCTGGCCAAAGAGCATTGGCAGCTGTGCGAGGTCATTCACACTGGCCACAAGGATTCTGGTCTGTTTAAATTCTGATGTTTCTGTGAAATTCTCAGAGTGTTCAATCCTACTCAATAGTATCATTACAATTTTCTGTAAGAAAAAAAACATTACTTATTTATCCTAGTATTCTTAACCTGTCAGTATAATAAATATTGAGAGCAATATATGGTATACCTGAATGTTGTGCTGATGTCTGTTCTTCTTTTTTTTTCTTTTCTTTATTGATTTTAGAGAGGAAGGGAGAGGGAGAGAGATAGAAACATCGATGAGAGAACATCGATTGGCCGCCTCCTGCATGCCCCCCCAGCCCCCAGGGACCTGGCCCACAACCTGGGCATGTGCACTGACCAGGAATTGAACCGGCGACCTCCTGGTGCATGGTTTGACGCTCAACCACGGAGCCGCACCAGCTGGGCTGTTCTGTTAAATTAGTTGGTTGTTTAAATCTAGTCATTTTCCCAACCCTTTCCTCTCCCTTGGGGGGGGGGGGGCGGTGGAGGGTTAGTTTTAAATATTCCGAAGTGTCCCTTTGTTCTTTGGGGTAGCACAGCTGAAATAGATGACTTTCAATCCTGTTCTTCAATCCGTGGCATCTGGGCTCAATTCCTTTAGCAAACCCTGGAGCGCAGCACCAAGCATATCCCTTAGACCAACAGGTTAGTGTTAAGATACAATGTTGCTATAAAATCCGAATTGCTCCATACCTCAACTATCATTTTCTCTGAATGTATGAAAGGCGAAAACATGCACCTGCTGTTCAACTTGAGCCATGGATGCCTTACATTTGGCCACAGAACTTCTCCTAAAGTAGTCAATTGAATTACATTCATTATAATGCCCAGATGTGTGTCTTGTTGTTGCAAATATGTATTTCAAATGTTAGGGGGGGAAATGAGGGGAAGATGGGTGATACGCAAAGGGCTAAGGTTCCAGAAAACCTCAGCATTATTTATGGATTCCAAAGAAATAACCCAGAGAACGGGTTGTGAAAGACATGGGTTTATTAGGATGCACTTGCACACTGGTGGTGGCCGACCAGTGAAGACTACCCCTACGCCGGCTGCCACCAGGGAAGTTGTCCCGCTAAGTCCCGTCTGGCCTGTACATGGGCCACACGGGGCTGGGGCGGCTGGCCAGTGCTACTGTTTAGCCACCACCCATACTTTCCAGCACAGGGTTTTGTAGAGTACAGAAATCAGAAAAACAGGGCATTCGGGGGAGGCGGATGTGCCTGTGTGAGATCAAAACACGAGCTGTTTACAATCCGGGCTCACATCTAGAAGCAGTTTCTGTTTGACCTTTCTTAGACCGAATTGCTGACCAGGCCCCCAAGGTCTCACAGACTGCTCACAGATGGCCCTCACTATATTTCCCACAGGGCAGGACGGGAAGTGGGAGCATGGGAAGGGGCCCCTGTTCCCATTTACCATACATTCCACCCCAACATGGGTACCTTCCCTCTCCACGCCACTGCCTGTTACGTCTTCCACGTCTATCCTGGAGAGGGAGGAGGATGGGTGAGACACTGCATTTACATTTTACAGCAACGATATAAGATACAGGAAAGGAATAACAGACGTGTGCACATTAGAATCAGAGTACATAAAGCAGATCTCCAGTCCCAAGCAAACTTTCCAAATCATGTTGAGATAGGATCATTCTGCCAGGCTGACTGAATTTGTTTCCCAAGGCAGCGCAGCAGAGAGCAGCATCTCCGAACACACCCAACCGTCTGAACCACTGGACCCGAGAGCCACTCCATCAGCCCTTCTGGCAAAGCTGTTAGCCTGCACCGGACTGAGAACAAGACAAATGTTCCGTAGGCACCAATGGAGGCAAATCGGCACCGGGGGGTAGTGTACAGGCTATTGCTCTATCCTGTGTAAGAATAGTGGCTTGTTCAGGTGGTCTCCCTGGCCTCCCATACCATACCTTTCGACTGGCGATGTCCCCTCCAGCCTAGAATACTAGCTGTGAGAGGAGGAACACACATCTGCCAGATGACATAGTAGTTGGCCACTCACCAGTTACAGTAGGTTGCACAAGCTAGCCTGGGCAAGGCCCCTCTGCCCATGGGGCTAGGAGAGCGCACCAGCAGTTTCCCAGGACCAGGTTAATGCACTAGTTCCAGGGTGTATGTCCCGGGGTGCTGGCAACAACACAGTATTCTCTGTTCCCCAACAAGGTCTTAGCCTGGCACCCATTGTTTAAAGTTGCCCTCGCAGTGGGGATGCCCACATCTGCCACTGCATGTGGAACGCTGCAGGGTGATCTGGTCGGGGCTTTTCATGGTTAGTAGTGCCTGAGAGAGGCTTGTGGTTCATCCTTGAATGACCCCGCTCAGTTTTCAGGACATTTCTCAACAGTCCATTATAACGTTCTGTTAGCCCAGCTCCTGCTGGACTATAAGGGAGGTGCAGTTGCTGTTCAGTGTTGTGGCTCTCGGCCCAGTCTTGCACATAATGCCCTGTCATCACTGGCAAGGGACACGGATGCCACTCCACACAAGCTGTAATCATGCCAGTCGTTTTCAGTGGGAGGTCCCAGGCTTTAGCTGTTGCTCACAGGGTTTTCTGCCCGTATGCTTTACTTTCCTGTGTAGCCATGTAGCCAGGTCTTCCGCTGGGGCCTCTTCCAGCCATTGAATGTGAGCCAGCACACCCACTTCATCTTTCCCTGGACACTGTGACGGTGGATGTCCTGTGACATGACATAGGGTCATCTCCTTAGTCTCTACAGCCATCCTGCCCGCATGGAGTGTCCTCACAGTGGTCTGCAGTCCCGAGCATGCCCTTCAGGGGGCTGTCCTTTGCATGAGCCATCAGTATACTGTGCTTCAAGTGGTACTGGAGCCGTACCTGCTGTCACTGGCCCAAGGCCAATAGGCTCTTTCTTGAGTGTCTTTTCAGCAACTACTCCTGACACAAAGGTGACTGGCCCTGGTCATGTCTACAATTCCTGTCTAAGAGGGGATGTTGAATGGACATGTCTCTGCCCTGACCCTACCCATGACCACTGGCTCCAGAATATTTTTTATCATCCCAAAGAAAATCCGGTACCTATTAAACAGTCACTCAGCATTCTCCCCTCCCTTCAGTCCTAGGCCACCAATAATCTGATATCTGTGTCAATGGATTTGCCTCTTCTGGATATTTCATACAAATGGAATCATACAGTATGTGGCCTTTTCTATCTGACTTCTTTCGTGTAGCCAAATCTTGTCAAGGTTCATCCATGTTGTAGCATGTATCAGTACCTCATTGCTTTTTATGGCTGAATAATATTCGTCTACATGGATAGGCCAAATTTTGTTTATCCACTCATCTGTTGATGTGCAGGTGTATTTTAACAAAAAAGATGGCCTTTATCCTCCAGGAATGAATCTCTAAGGTGGGAGAGAAGAGGGCTGGGAATAGGGTCTTTCTCAGAACTTCCAGGGACAATTTAAAAATCACTTATTCTGTGACTAGCTCTGCGGGAGCAGCAATGAGGCAGGAGGTAGAAGGTCATGCTCCACACAGTAGAAGGTACAATGCTTCCCGACTGCTTCTGGCCGGTAAGGAGGTTCTGCAGGAGGGCCTTAGGCAGGCTCCTGGAATCGAAGCTTGCCTACACAGGCTGTTTTCACAAGTATGATGGACGGGGAGAGCCGAGGTGGCCCCTGGATTATTTACTTGTTTATTTAGTATTTTTAATCCTCACCTGAGGATACGTTTTTATTGATTTTAGAGAGAGAGAGGAAGGGAGAGGGAGAGAAAGAGAGAAACATCAATCAGTTGCCTCCCACATGCACCCCAACTGGGATTGAACCCTCAACCTGGGTATGAGCTCTGACCAGGAATTGAACCTTCAACCTTTCAGTGTACGGGGCGATGCTCCAACCAACTGAGCCACACCGGCCAGGACAGTCCCCTGGATAATTTTATTCCCAACTCAGTCCCGCCACTGTCTTGGATTCTGTCCATAATGTACGCACATACATAGAATTAATTATGCAACTTCTAATAATGCACAAAATGGGTCTTCTTGGATGTAATTACATTAGTCCAGTTTGAAAACATTTGGTCAGCCCAAGCTTCCTTTGTGAGGCAAAGTACTCAGTGGTTCAGAACAAAGACTTTAGAATCAGCTAGACCTACATTCAAATACTGCCCCCACTGCCCTTAGTCGAGTGAATTTAGGCAAGTGATACAACCTCAATTTCTTCACCTGTAAAATGGGGATGATAGCAAAAGTACCAAGCTCAATGGATTCTTGTAATCCTGTGTGAAGAGCATAGCATGGTGTCTAGGGAAAGCAATTTTTTTTTTAATCCTCACCCAAGGTTATTTTTTCCATTGATTTTTTCTTACAGAGTAGAAGGGAGGGTTGGGGAAGTAGGGGGAGAAAGAGTGAGAAAGAGGGAAAAATTGATGTGAGAGAGACACATCAAATGGTTGCATCTCACATGTGCCCCAACCCTAGGGCCAGGTAGTGAACCTGAAACCCAGGTATGTGCCCTTGACTGGGAATCAAACCCATGACCCATCAGTGTGTGGGCCCATGCTCTATCCAGTGAGCCACACTAGCCAGGGCAGAAGCAATTTTTATTTTTAAATAAAATTTTAATTTATTTTTATTATGCTGGTGAACCTATGGATAATTTTTTTACATTTTTATATTTTCCATTACTTTATTTTATTTCATTTTATTTTTGTTACAGATGTTTCTTCTTTTTTACCCCATTGACACCCTCCTCCCCATCCCCCCCACCCCATTCCCGGCTTTGTTGTCCATGTCCACTGGTTATGCGTACATGCATGTAAGTTCTGTGGTTTATCTCTTCCTTCCCCCACCACCCCCTCTTCTGAGGGTTGTCAGTCTGTACCCTACTTCCACGTCTCTGGGTCTACCCTGTTCCTCAGACTGTAATGATCATTATAGTACACAAATAAGTGAGATTATGTGGCATTTGTCTTTTTCTGCTTGGCTTGTTTCACTTAGGATAATACTTTCTAGGTCCCTCCATGTCGTCTCAAAGGATAAGAGATCTTTCTTTCCTACAGCTGCATAGTACTCCATTGTGTATATGTACCACTGCTTTTTTATCCATTCGTCTACTGATGGACACTTGGGCTGTTTCCAGATCTTAGTTATTGTAAATAGTGCTGCTATGAACATGGGGGTACATATATTCTTTCTGATTGGTGTTTCAGGCTTCTTAGGGTATATTCCTAGAAGTGGGATCACTGGGTCAAGTGGCAATTCAATTTTTAATTTTTTGAGGTAACACCATATTGTTTTCCAGAGTGGCTGCACCAGTCTGCATCCCCACCAGCAGTGTACTAGAGTCCCCTTTTCTCCACACCCTCGCCAACACTTGTTGTTTGATGATTTGTTGATGGCAGCCATTCTGACAGGTGTGAGATGATACCTCATTGTTGTTTTAATTTGCATCTCTCTGATGATTAGTGATGTTGGGCATTTCTTCATATGTCTCTTAGCCATTTGTATGTGCTGTTTGGAGAGGTGTCTATTTAACTCCTCTGCCCATTTTTTAATTGGGTTCTTTGTCTTCCTTTTGTTGAGTTGTATGAATACTCTATATATTTTGGAAATTAACCCCTTATCTGATGTATCATTGGCAATGATGCTCTCCCATACAGTAGGTTGCCTTTCCATTTTGATGGTTGTTTCTTTTGCTGTGCAGAAGCTTTTTAGTTTGATGTAATCCCATGTGTTCATTTTCTTCTTTGTTTCTGCCGCCTTAGGTGATGTATCAGTGAAAATTCTGCTGTGTATGATGTCCAAAATTTTGCTGCCTACATTTTCTTCTAGGATTTTTATGGATTCACGAGTCACATTTAAGTCTTTTATCCATTTTGAGTTTCTTCCTGTGTAGGGTGTAAGTTGATGATCTAGTTTCATTTTTTTGCATGTAGCTGTTCAATTTTCTTAACACCATTTATTAAAGAGGCTGTCTTTACTCCACTGTATGCTCTTGCCCCCTTTATCAAATATTAATTGAGCATAATGTCTTGGATACATTTCTGGGTTCTCTGTTCTGTTCCACTGGTCTATATGCCTGTTCTTGTGCCAGTACTAGGCTGTTTTGATTACCATAGCTTTGTAGTATAACCTGATATCCGGTATTGTGATTCCACCTACTTTGTCCTTCTTTTTCAAGATTGCTGTGGCTATTCGGGATCTTTTTTGGTTCCATATGAACTTTTGAAGTATTTGTTCTAGTTCTGTGAAATATATTGTTGGTATTTTTATGGGGATTGCATTGGATCTATAGATTGCTTTGGGTAATATGGACATTTTAATGATGTTAACTCTTCCAATCCATGAACAAGGTATGTGCTTCCACTTTTTTATATCTTCCTCTATTTCTTTTTTTAATGTCTTATAGTTTTTTGCAAATAGGTCCTTTACTTCTTTGGTTAAGTTTATTCCTAGGTATCTTAATTGTTTTGCCACAATGGTAAATGGGATTGTTTTTTCAGTTTCTCTTTCTGTGAGTTCATCATTGGCATATAAGAATGCCATTGATTTCTTTTTTTTTTTTTAAATTTTAAGTTGCTCTCTACATTGAGATATTTTATTTTAATTAATTAATTTATTTTTGTTACAGATGTTTCTCCTTTTTATCCCACTGATTCCCCATTCGCCTCCCTCCCCGCCCTGTCCTCAGCTTTGTTGTCCATGTCCACTGTTCATGCATACATGCATATAAGTTCTGTGGTTTATCTCTCTCCCACCACCACCTCTTCTGGGGATTGTCAGTCTGTACCCCACTTCTGCGTCTCTGGGACTACCCCATTCTTCAGACTGTTATGTTCATTATAGTCCACAAATAAGTGAGATCATATGATACTTGTCTTTCTCTGTTTGCAATTTTTAAGGTTATTATTATTATTATTTTTTATCCTCACCCGAGGACATTTTTGCATTTATCTTCAGATAGAACAGGAGGGAGAGAGGGAGGAAGAGAGAGGGAAACATCAACGTGAAAGAGACACATTGAGTGGCTGCCACCCTCACGACCCCAACCAGGGCCGGGGACAAACTGCAACCGAGGTACCCATGCCCTTAGCGGGAACTGAACCCAGGACTCTCTGGTCTGCGGGCCGATGCTCTAACCGCTGAGCCAAACTGGCCAGGGTAATTTCTAATGTTATTATTAAAGGTCATTGTCACCAACATTTACTGAGATTTTATGAAAGGATGGGCCAGGGACCAAGACTGCCAATTCTGGGTTATTTGATTAAATTAAACCTTGAGCTCAAATGGTTCAAATTTATTCCATCATCTTACGTTCCTACAGCTTTTGTCCAGTTTTTATTTTGGAACCCACCTGAGTCGCTGGCAGGGTGGGCCTTCCTCTATGGGGTCAATAGGTGTTTGGGGAAGTGATGGTGGCCCTGTCCTGAGCAGGTGGCTGGGGATGAGGACAAAGGGGTCTGTGACAGTGGCAGATCACAAAGGGCAGTGGAGTATAAAGGTGGCCACACAGGGAGTATAGGTTGAGAGAGTGGGGTTCACAGCCTCTTGGGGAAATAAAAATCAGAGGTGGAGGTGAAGTGCGGCGGAGCGAAGCCCACTCGACATCTCTACATCCTTGAAGAGGTTCAGTCTGGGGTCCAGGCGCCTTCCAGCCTCGCCACGGTAATCATTTGTGCTCCATCCCCACCCCTGCCTCTGGGGTCCCTGTGGGCTGGGGTGGGGTTGAGAAACCTCTGTAGAGCCATCTGTGTGACACAGGAGCATTCCTGCTCCCTCTTCTGCCAACGAGGCCAAGAAACAGAAGACCCAGGGACCGGTCTTGCCAGCCCTGCTTGTGATAAACAAAGTCATGAACAGGGAGTGTCTGTTCCCATATTACACGCCCCAGAGCGGCTCCAGTGCGGGCAAACTGCAGCGACAGCTGGACAAGGGAGAATACAGCATCTTCAAGCACGCATCAGTGTTTGAGAGTGACTTTATTCAGATCACGAAAAGAGGAGAAGTGATTGACGTGCACAACCATATCCGCATGGTGACCATGGGCATCGCATCCACCAGCCCCACTCTTCCACGACCAGATGTCATGCTGCTGGCCCGCCCGGCCACCGGCCTGGAAGAGCATGCCGGGCGCGGCAAAGTCACCAAGGGAAAAAGACGTACGGCTGCAAAGACCTTGGAGCTCACGAGGCTCCTTCCCTTGAAGTTTGTGCAGATCTCCATCCATGACCATGAGAAGCAACAGCTGTGCCTGAAGTTCAGCACTGGCCGCTCCTGCTACCTGCAGCTGTGTCCCCCTCCAGAGGATATGGAAGACCTATTTACCTGCTGGGAAAACCTCATTCACCTCCTGCGACCACCAGTGGACAAGAACAATATTTCTACCACTCCTGCCAGGAACGTGACGTGCGTGCCTATTTCGAAGGAAGAGGCCAGGAAGAGCCTGGCAGTGGCTAGTTTCCAAGGGAAAGAATATCAGGATCAGATCAGCACCGGAAGCCTCTCTGAGGTGGCTGGGGCCACCTCTGCAGCTTTTGCTGGGGGGCAGGGTGTCCAATATGACTCTCACATATTCACTGCCACCCCAAACACAGAACCTACAGAGCTTGACAAAGTGTCAGCTACAGAGGTGGCAGCAGGCACCACAGCAGGTGTTCTGAGCACGGACATCACCCAGTCTGCTGTCCCTGGACAACTAAGCATGGCCATAGAGGGAGCAGCCACCAAGGATCCAGGGGGAAGCAAAACCAGCATAGCCATTGCAGGGGTTGCCAACGTGTCCCCCAAGAGCATTAAAATGGCCTTGGCAGGTGCTGCAAACAAGTCCTCAGAGTGTCCCTCCAACACCAGCCTCTCCCCAAAGACCAGCATGATTGTTGTGATGGCAAAAGCAGAACCCACCAGCAAGACTGTTGGAGAAATAGCTAACGATCGTGCCGCAGAACCTCTCATCTCAACCTTGCCCAAGGAAGGCAGTGTGAGTGGACAGGTCGGGAGGCAGCAACGAGTGTCCCCCGCCAGGGCTGAAGCCCACAGCAGCAGAAGGGACAGAGCTCTCAGGAGTTCCCATCACCGCAGGGCAATTGACAACTGCCACAAGCCAGGGGGTTACAAGATACTCCAAAAACCACCTGGCTGGTCCTTAGCCGGGCAGAGACATGACGAAAAGGAGAAAAGTCTCAGCGGCCCAGGGGGCAGCAGGCCTGTCACCACGCACAAAGGCATCAGCCACGCTCCCATCACCAAGGACTCGAGGACTTCTCACAAATCAGGGAGGAGCTTGTCCACAGGTAGTTCAGGTTCCACGACCAGGAGACTCAGCAGGATCAGCTCTTTCTTGAGGAACATTAAGACCAATCTTACTACAAAAACAGTGGCCTCACCCCGCAGTAAGGATGTGGACTGTTTGGCTAAGACCGTGGGGAGGAACAACATGGAGGGCATTCTAGAGACAGAAGAGAGTGTCCAGGGACTGGAGATGATTGATAATACATCTGAGATCATGAAGACAGTGACCTTTGAGCAACTGGAAGTTGCAGAGGGGACTGGGGCTCAGGTGAGGATCCCTGGAGAGCCTATTCCATCTTTCCTTACTGCAGTTTAAATAAATATCGAGGTAATCTGAATACAATCAATACAATGCTGCTTTCTGCCTGAATTTGTCTCCCTTAGTCTAGTAGTGACCTCACAGTAGATTCTGTGATGTCAACTGTGCTGTAGCCTGAGACCCCAATGTCCGGTCAAGAGCAGCCCCGCCTCACCCCTGCTGGGCAGAGTGACCTTGTTCCCCGGGGCCATGGCTACAAGTCAGACTGTGTCCTGGGACGCTCCACCTCCACCATCTCTCTGTCCTTTTTATAAACATTTTCCCCCCCCCTCCCCCAAAGGTCCATAGACAAAGTAAGAACAGAGTTCACATCCCCTTGGCTTATTCAGGGAAGGGAAGGGGTACATCAGCATTTGTTGGCAATCAGCATGGGGGGGGGGGGCTTCTCGTCTAGACTTAGCAATCCATTCTTAGGTGTATACCTTGGAGAAACCCACGTTCTAGGAGACAGTTATGAGAATGTTCCTAGCAAAAATAATGTAACAGTACAACACTGGAAACAGCCTACATTTCCAACAACAGAATTGATAATACAGTAGGCTATGAGCATAGATAAACTTCTCATAATTTTTTAAGAAAACAAGTCACAGGATAGAATATAATTCCTCTTAGAGAACAGTTCGAAAACAAGATCAAATCATATACTGCACAGAGTACATGCTTGCTAAAACCAGACAAAAATAGAACAGTAAACAAAATCCAACACAACAGTTTTCTCTAGGGTGGAAAGTTAAGCGATCAAGTTGGTAAGCACAAGGCCTTCAGTGCTGTTGGGAATGTTCTGTTAAGCAGACAGTGGGTCTGTGGGCCTTGCATTTTTTTTTTTTTCCTTCACATTTTAATACCCTGAAATTAGAGATACAATCGCCTTGGCAGTTGTGATGAAATGATTGCCTCAGAGGTACCGTAACCTGTGCCTTCTCCTATATTTTCACTCTGAGTAAGTCTCCTTAACTTACATTTATTCTAGGTAAGTTATTACAAGAACCCTTGTTTGGTTATTAGGAAGTGAAGGAATGATATCCCTATTTTACAGAGGAGAACCCTGAGGCTCAGAGAAGGTATGTAACTTGCTATGGTCCTACAGTGGAAACTTTGCTTCTGCCCACCTCATGCATAACCGTCTGGGTTTGGGGAGGAGGCAGAGCAAACAAGTCTAAGAAGAATGAGCCACCACAAGAACCTGAGACATCAGCATTCTTACCAAAACCGTCCAAAACTCCACAGAGATGAGCACCGATCTTACTGGATTAAGGGGAAAGAGAGGTGTGGTTGCAGGGGAGCTGGTTTGCAAACTCCAGTGAGCTACCAGTGAGCTCGGAGCCCTTAGCTGGCCTTACCTCACGTGTCCAGACCACCCTTGAGCTGTGCCGGGCTCCCAGGCTTCTGTCCCCAGCCTCTGGCATGACCTGCACTGCAGCCCTAAACAGACCACCTGCCTGCAATTCCATGGCCCACTCCTGACGGGGCTGCCTCTCTGCAGCCCAGTCCTCCGCCAGATGCTAATTAACCTTTCGAAAGCTAGGCTCAGAGTGGTTTTTCTATCACCACGTCTTTGAGAACTTTCTTCTTCTAGGGTTCCGAAAACAAATCCTTAAACTTCACATGAAGGAGGTTATGAGTTAGGTCCCAGCATCCTTGTTGCCTGGACTCTCAGTCTGTGACAGAACTCACATGGGAGGGGGTCTAGAACTCCTGTTGGTCAAGGGAGTGGAGGTCCTGGGGGCACTGCGGAGGCCTACGCACATCCCGTTTCCTTTGGCAAAACAAGATCCTGACTCCAGGATGGGGAATTATTGGAGTGAGTCAAGTTATTCTTAAGAAGGGAACATGCCAGAGATTAGATACGAATTGGCCCTGTGAAGAAAACAACCTCAGAATCATTAACCTGCAGCTTCAGAGAAAACCAGGGGCTGCAGGGAGACAGAATTAATGGTTTACTCTCGACCAGCTTGTCCCTGGACTCAAGATGGGGAAATTACAAAAAGATCACATCACATTCTTTTCATCTTATGATTTCCACACAGGCAAGTGCAGGTAAACATTAATGTGGAACCAAAAAAAAAAAAAGGCAACAAAAACATGTGCATAGCACTTAGCCAATTTACATTTTTTTTTTTTTTTTGAAACATCGATGAGAGAGAACATCGGTTGGCTACCTCCTGCATTCCCCCCTGGGGGTCTGGCCCACAACCTGGGCATGTGCCCCGACTGGTAATCGAACCGGTGACCTCTTGGTGCATGGGTCCATGCTCAACCACTGAGCCACACAGGCCAGGCCAATTTACATTTTTTAATACACGTGGCCCTTCTGATTCTCACACCTCTCCACTTTGCAGATCAACAGACAGGAGTTAGAGCATTGAAAGGACTTGCTCAAGGCAGTAGGCGATGGTGCAGAGAGCAACCCCGGAGCAACAGCTTTCACACGGCACCTACTATGTGCTGGTCCTGGGTCCCTCACAGAGATCCAGAGATCCAGAGGCGGGGGATGAAACACACAGGGGTGAGTAATTAACACAACTCCCAGCGACAGATCCAGGCAGAGACTCGTGTTTGGGGAACAGGATCCATTTAGAGGAGGAGTTCTGGGACAAAGGAAGGAGGTGTGGGTGAGGGAAGGCTTCACTGAGGAATTGGCAGTCTTAAGGATGAATGGGCTCCGCCAGGTATAGAAAGTATGGAAAGCAAAGGGAAAGGTGGAGGAGGTGCAGAGGAGGAGTTGGGAGAAAATCAGGTCACGGAAAAAAACATGTGCAAAGTACAAAGGCTTGAAACATCCTCGCGTGTTGAGCAATTGCAAGTATTTCAGTATTGCTGGTTGGAGGACGGGGAGAAGCAGCCACAAGGCTGGAGAATCAGGCACCTGGATCCCTAGGGGCCTGGAGTGCTGTGTCAGTGTCTGGGTTTTGGGGAGCCACGGAAGGCCAGCACCTAATGGGAACATGATATCTGTGGCTTCAGGGTGGAGAGCTCATTGGCAGGGGGCTGTCTGGAGACAGAGATCTTCCAGAAAGCCACTGCATTAATCCTGGTCAGTGAAGGGGAGCCCTGAACCTCGGTGGCATTGGGGAGACAGAAAAAGGCAGAGTCAAGAGATACTGAAGAGATAGAAGAGGACCATTTTCCATCCCACATCCTGAAAGAGAAGGAGCTTGTGGTTTAGGCCCAGCAAGTATCTCAGGTGGAAATTACAAAAGTGGAGATGTCTTCCCCTGGGGTGACTGTTGGTTAGTAAAAGGGGTGGCGAGAAGAGAGACTCATGGGAAAGCAAAGAGGAACACGTTAAGATTTAAACAATATCTTCTAGATGGCTAAGGGGTAAAATATCAAGAGAAGCCAGCCAGTGGGGCTGTGGGGTTCCGGTGCTTGGAGATCCCGCAGAGGAGAGACCCCCTGAGCAGTTCCTTGTACATCTGGGCAGGATGTGTTCTCACCCCGGCCTCCTCCACTGGGAGAAGAGTCGCGGGGTAGAGCCCCTTGTGGCCAGGCCTGGGTATTGCAGGTTGGTTGAATGAGGGGAGCCTGTACTGAGGCAGAGTCACAGCCTCCCTTTCCTTTTGAGACACCACAGTTAGCCTAATGCTGATCCCATAGGTGTGACCTGGGGGACAGGAGGGGTCTGGGTAAAGGAGGATGTGTCTCATCCAAGCTGCATGGCTCCAGGCCCTTGGCAGTGGAGTGGCAGAATATAGAATGCCCCCCAGACAGGTCCCCTGGGAGGCGGGGAATTCAGACTCAAGAGCACAATGAGTGACCACCAAGAATAGGGGCAGGGTCCTTCTGCAGCCTGGAGGTCATTCGAGAAACAATTGTTGAGTACCTACTATGGGCAAGATAGGAAATCGAGGACCATAAAGATGTTCACCCACACACCCCAATAATACGAATCAAAGTGTGATGGTGGCCTTGGGCAGTGTTCACAGAGGAGGGCAGATCTGAGCAGAGAGACAGACTGAGCACCCCTGGCAGAAGGGATGGCATGACAGAGAAAGAGAAGGGTTTGGGAGACCAGGGGCTTGGGTGATGTTCACAGACAACAGACAAGGGCAGCGTGCCCAGGGGAGAAAGTGGGGTGTAAAGGGGGGTGAGCGTGTGGTGGGAAAGGAAGCTGGAAATAGAGGGGAAGCCATGACATGACCATAGGGCCAGTGATCCAGGGCTGAGGGGTACACAGAGTTGAACTCCCCGGGAGCAAAAGGGCAAGGGAAGCCCAGACTCTTCCCCTTTGCCGGCTGGAAGAACTTAAAATGTGTAATGGAGGCTCGTGTTTTCCCACACATTATCCAAGTACAATTTGTTTCACAGGTGTGCCAAAGTATTGATACACCTCATCCCAGGGGCACCTGGAGGACCAGGCCAGTAGGCTTTGGCTGTCAGGAGCCCCTGCTTGTACCTCAATGTGCCATCCCAATGTTGTCATTTTCTACATGCGCCATGGTCTGCAAAAGGCCGGGAAGTATCCAGCCGGTGTGGCTCAATGGTTGAGCATCGACCCAGGCACCAAGAGGTCGCCAGTTCGATTCCCAGTCAGAACACATGCCCAGGTTGTGGACCTGATCCCTAGTGGGGGCCATGTAGGAGGCGGTCAGTCAATGTTCTTTCTCATTGATGTTTCTGTCTCTCTCTCCCTCTCCCTTCCTCTCTCTATAAAAGTTGATAAAGGGAAAAAAAATTTTTTAACAAGGTCGGGAAGTATCTCTCTATATATGGACACATGCACACGATACAGTGTGACCTGCCGGGGTGCAGCAGCAGCAAGGAGCAGCTGAGAAGTGGCTGCCTTGGAAAGCCAGCTTGGTTCACATGGCAGCAGCTGACGCTGACCATGTCACCCCTGTTTAAATCAGGGCTGCCCTTATGACTTACTTGAAACCAATAGAATGTGATAGAAGTTATGCTGGGTGACCTCTGAGACTCAGTCAGAAACAGCTTCCACTTGGTTATCT